CAGCGCTGAGTAGTAGTACAACGCTCTGGGCCTGAATCATTAAAACTGCTTCTTAAATACGTGATATAGTGAAAGAGAAAAGTGGGGAGAGGGAATCAGCATTTACATTCAGTATTAAGAATACAGGAATTCTGGTGATACAGTGGTTAAGGCATTTGGCTTTTAACCAAAAGGTCAGTGATTTGAACTCACCAACTGCTCTTTGGAAGAAAGATGAGGCAGTCTATTTTCATAACAACCTTGGAAACCCAATGGGGGTCACTATCAATCAGAATTGACTTATCAAGGGAGGAGGGTAAAAAGACCAGTATTTTTGTTTTGTTTTTTGGGGGGAGGGAAAATTGTACAAAAAAAGTAGATAAAGTACCAAAATCTGTATCATCTCCCTTGCAAAATCAGTCTTTCTTCCCAAAATTAAAACTTTGTTCTGCTCACAAAAAGTGATTTTAAGAACAAATTCAAGACAATAAATTACCTAAGAAATTAATCTTACATTCGTTATTTAATACTTATTAATGCTTTAATGTTTAAATGTGTATTTATAATAAGACCCAGGCATTTAAAAAAAAAAAAAAAAAAACTAAACATTTATATAAATTTGAAATGACATAAAATTAAAAAAAAAAAAAAAACGCATTGCCATCAAGTTGACTCCGACTCACAGTAGCCCCTCTTTGGGATTCTGAGGCAGTATCTCTACAGACATAAAATATCCAGTCTTCCTTTCAAGGAGTGGCTGGCAGGTTTGAACTACCAGCCTTCTGGTTAGTCAAATGCCTTAGGCACTACGCCACCAGAGCTCCTATGATATTTTTCAGATGATTCAAAAAACAGATGAATAAAATTTTTAGTCATTTGAAAATAAAGCCTCTTTTAAAGGTTGGTAGTTCAAACCTACCCAACAGCACCTTGAAAGAAAGTCCTGGCAATTTGCTTCCAAATGGTCTTGAAAACACTATGGTTTATAGTTGTGCTCTGCACACATGGGTGGATCACCAGGAGTCTGAATCAACTTAAATTAACTGCAGACGGTTTAGGTTTTTCTTTTATGTTATGTTAATCTATTGCTCAACTTTGATACATTTGACTTTGTTGTTGTTGTTATATGCCGTCGAGTCCGCCCCAACTCATAGCGACCCCTCCTTGGGTTTCCGAGGCAGTATCACTAGGGAAGTAGAATGCCCCATCTTCCTTCCGAGGAGTGGCTGTTGGGTTTGAACCGCCAGCCTCCTAGTTAGCAGTCAAGTGCCTTGGGCGCTACGCTACCAGAGCTCCCACATTTGACTTTAGTATACATGGAATCAATATGGGTTAGAATAGACTTGAAGGCAACTGATTGGTTCTTATACTTTAACCCACGTTTTCAGGAACACTAGGATGTGCCTACATCTCCATGATAGGATGTATCACAATGTTTATGTTCTTACCAGTCTGTTTCCACCAGCCAACTGAGAGCTGCATCAGGGCTTGTCTGAGTCTTCCATCTTTTTTTTTTTTAAATATCCCGAACTCAAGAATAGCAAATCAAAGCAACCACTCACCTGCTTATAACAGATGTCAACTATAATTAAGCCAAAGAAACTATTAAATTTCAAGGACCTAATATACCCCTCTCCCCTCTTTTTATTTGGGAAAAAAGACAACTGAATCTACAGTGATTGTCAATGGTAGAAGACTGGAACTCATGTAACCACTATTGTTTCACTATACCACACTATGACTTTTGAAGAATATATAGATTTGATGCATCTAAATAATTCTTTTTCCTAATGAGTTGCTATGATAGTTAATATCATTCAAAAAAAAAAAAAAACTGAGTAAAACAGATGTAAGAATATTCTCAGAGAAAAGGCATAAATATTTTCTAAAAAGACAATGTCCAAGGCATTGCTTAAACCTTTTCAACCATCCCTATACTAAACCTTCAAAGGCACTGCTCCTCTTTTCTTTCCTTAATTCTTAACTAATAATTAATTTTAAGTACAGGCCAAGATACCTGGGTTTAGTAAAAACATTAATACATGTGAAATACCTGAGTGGCACTATCTACTAAAGGACTGCTAAGGTTAAGTCTTGGGAGGTATTGCTGGGTGGGGGAGGGCAGACTTTACAGGCTCATGTCCCTGCTTTACCTTCCCTGTCATCATCATGCTGCTCTACTTTCTACTGTTCCCCCCTAAACTATTTTACTGTGCTGTTTGAACCCCTCCATTCCACTATGAACAGGCCCTCCAATCTTCAACCTCTTTACTGAACATTCCTTCTATTACCTCACCTTCGCTAAAACCTGATTCTTCCTTGAGGATACTGCATTCTCTGCGGAACTCTCAAAATGGACACTGCTTGATCTCCTCCTATACTCTCCATACCTCTGAGATGGAGAGGAGGTCCATGCCATCCTTGTTGCTTCCAGACTATTATTTCACAGACCTTGGGCAAGTCTTGGCTATTCAGCCATGTCATTCTCTATCTCTCTTGACTGCTTCCATCTACCATCCTGCCAGCTGCCTCACTGACCTTTACTGAAGACTCTTATCCTACATTCTCATCTTTCTCTCCACTCCAAGTCCTGTCATCACAAATGTTCACACAGAAGAGTAATCCTTTATCTTTGGCCACACTGTTATTTGACCTTACCTCCCCTTTAGTCCATGCCCCATGACCATACTTGGGACATTATGATCAACTAGAACTGCTGCTCCTCTTAAATTCTAAATTCAACATCACACACAAAGTGACAGACAACCAATCCTACTCTGACCACAACTCTTATCATTCTAGCTTTTACATTTTTATTCCCATTACTCTTGGGTTTTTGGACCTAATTTGGGCCTTGAGTTCTCTGACCTTCTACTCTCCTTGTATAAGCTCCCTCTTCTTGTCACATCCTTCCATACAGATGCCATAGACCATCACTTCAATCTACTCTCTTACTATTATTATCTTCAGTTCCCTCGATTCACTGTCCCATTGGTCCCATCTAGCAAAATCCATCTTGAATCAACACAACCATTTGTGTTCCCTGAACCCATACTCAGGCTTTGGACACTAAGAAAAGTCATCCTCCCACACATTCTATAGATTTGACTGGGCTCTTAATTCAATCCCTTTGTTTCCCTATGGTTGTTGTTGTTATGTGCCGTCAAGTTGGACCCGACTCACAGCAACCCCTCCTTGAGTTTCCGAGGCAGTATCACTATGGAAGTAGATTGCCCCATCTTCCTTCCGAGGAGTGGCTGATGGGTTTGAACCACCAGCCTTCTGGTTAGCAGTCAAGTGCCTTAGGTATTTCAGACCTCTTTCCCCCAAGCATATTTCAGTTTATTTTCAGCAAATGATCTAGCACACTGCTTTAAAGGATAAACATAAGCCATCAAAAAACTCCTTCAACTTCCACAAAACCCTAGCAGTATCAACACCCATACTTTTCTTCCATTCACTACAATCCAAGTTGTTGGTTTTTTTTTCCCCCTCTCCTTCTAAGGCCAATTCCTCTACCTGAACTCTGGATCTCATTCCATCCCCTCTTGACTCGCTACTAGCACCTTTCATCAGACTGTTGTTCCCAAAGTCCTTTTTCAAACGCATGCTCTCTCTACTGGCACACCCCTTCTCAGTTACACTTAAGAGCTGTCAACATCTAGTCTCCATTTTTAAGTCCCAATCATTGCTCAATTCTACCCATCTAATCACCTACCGTACTCTTACCACTATCAACCAACTCCTTCCCTCCAAGTTAAAAAATTCTCAATCCTTGTCTTAACTAACCTCTCTAGTATTTAATAATGTTGATCATTCCTTCCATTCTTAAATCTCTCTTTTCTCTTGGCTCTTAATAGTTGATTCAGAGGTGTTAATCACTACCTCCCAGCCCATGACAAAATACACATACAACCAAGATCTCTCTAAAGATCTTCCTATGTGTAACTTCTTGGATGTCTCATGCTGTTGTTGTTATGTGCCGTCGAGTTGGACCTAACTCATAGTGACCCCTCCTTGGGTTTCCAAGGCGGTATCACTATGGAACTAGATTGCCCAACCTTCCTTCCAAGGAGTGGCTGGTAGGTTTGAACTGCCAGACATAGGTACCTCATAACCAACATGTTCAAAACTGAATTCTTTAACTTCTTTCCTCAAACTCAATTTATTCTCTCATGTCTACTTAATTTCTTGTACTGTCATCCAAGTGTTTGCACATGCCAGGAACCTGAGTCTCCTGGAATTATCTTTAACTCCTTCTCTTACCCTTCATTTCCATGTGCCCTCAAAAATCAAGCCTTGTGTCTCCGTATTCATCCCACTGCCTTAATGTTCAAATTCTTGTCTTTCTTACATTACAGCAACAATCTCTACACTGGTCTCTCTGCCATTAGTGCTACCCATCTCCAATACATAGCAAACATTCAGTAAATAGATAGTAATTACCACATATTTTTATAGAAACACAGCTAAATTAGAATGTCAAATAAAAAAACATATATGCAAATCACCTTTAGCAGATCAGGTATGTGGGAAATGTAGAGTCAAAAAGAAAAATGAGAATTAGTATTTTTCAGAATTCACAAAGACATACTTAAATTTATACTGTTCAAATGTCACTACTCAGTATGCCTAACTTTATACATATCACTGGAAAATATTGCCGTATATTAAAATACTAGAAAAATTTTACAAAAATCTTTCTTTTTAAATTAAAAATGAAATTTTTGATAAAACATCTGAAAATATTCTAGCCCTTCATGCTATCAAGAAATATTGAAGTAAAAAAGAAAAAAGAAGCCAATTCTAATTTGAAAATATTTTCTACTTCCATGGTACAATATAAAAGTCACCAATAAAAAATTAAGAGCAAGAAGGGTAGAAAAATCACTGAAAACCTTAAACTGACACAACAGTGCAAAAGAATGCATATCAATGCAATATATTACACAAAACACAGAATGGTCCATGATAAGTCAAAAGGTGGTTAGACATCACAAAACAGTGAATGGATTGATTACCTGAAGTTTTACTCAGCTCTGCTGAAAAGATAGCAGATGGTGACCGGTTCTCTTTTCCTGTATCAGAAGGAAGTTTTTTCTCAGCTTCTTTCACAAGAACTTTGGGTTTGACTACACTGCCTATCTCTGGTTGGGTGGTCAAAGCAGAAACATCTGGAGGCATGAAGGGCACCTTTGACAGATCGGACCTATCTTTGGAGAATTCATCTGACTCATGGATTTTATCTTCACTTTTAGGTTGTATACTCTTAAGAGAAAGGTCATGGGGTAATTCTGAGCAAGGCAATGACCCAGCTCCATCCTGGACATTAGCAATTTCATGTTTGTAGGATCTTTCTAGGTCAGGGTATTCTCTTGTCAATTGAGGAGAGAAATCAGTTTTAGAAGTGACAAATGTAGGGAACTCATCTATGATCTCAATTGGAGACGAATCTGAAAATGTTTCACTTTCTTTTACTTGTGCCTCCTTAGAAATGAGTAAGTCATCACTTGAATAAACTGTAGTATTGAGTTCCTCCATCTGCAAAGGAATTTTCTCCTTTTTGGTCAATGCTGAAACTTCATCAAGTGGTAATGTAGCTTCTGTCGTGTCTAAATTGGGCTGAAAAGATTCTAAATATGGCTTTCCACCCTCAGTTGGTAAAGCACTGAGTTCTTCCTTATTTTCATGTTCTTTCATTGATTCAGATGATGTTTCAGTGAGATTTTCTTGTACAAGCACCACAGCTTCATCTTGTTTTTCAGGAACTTCAGGGATTGAATCATCACTAAATAAGTCAACAGGCTCAGAATCAGGAGAGGAATCTTCAGCTAGGTCAGAATGATCAGACACTGGTTGAGCAATTTTTGCTATTTCTGAATGATTAGGGAAATCAGGAGTTGGTTCAGTAGAAAGCTTTGTCCCCTTAATTAAATCACACGCAATAGATATATAAGGAGCTTCTGTTTCTTGAACAGTTGCCTTGGTACTTTCAGGCTCTTTTATGTCTTCCTTTATTCCAGGTACCTTTTTTAGTAATACATTCATGGCCTCCTCATATGGTGGGGGATTTTCAGCCTCAGATTTTATATTTTCATAATTAACTGACTGAGGAGCTTCTAATGGTGATGAACTGGGCTGAACTGAAGAAGTACTGGTACCAGGAACAACAGAATTTAATGGTGCCTCCATAACAATGTCAGGCAAAACCGGAGAAGGAGTAGCTTCAGATTCTTCAAATGATGGGCAAAGCTGTGTTACAGAATACAATGATTCCTGCAAAGCTTCTGATGTTTGAACCAAGTCCATTTTTGTTTCATAAGCCAACTTTGTACCTGTAGCTTCATTCAGTTCACTTTCACATGCTTCCTGTACTAAATCTGGGGTTAGACCTTCAGGCATATTTGCCACTACTTCCTCAGTCACCTTTGTCAGACTGTCCGTTGTGACATAATCCATCTTAGAATCCTGTGTTGCTACAAGGAAAGGATTTGATGTTTTGATGTTAGTGTTCTTCTCAATTGTTGTCACAATTTGGGCCTTTTTTTCTTCTATTTTTTTTTCATCAGTCTTATTTTCTAAAGTATGATCTTCCAACAAAGGAAAAACACTTGTTGTTGCAATGCTCTTGGTTGCTGCTGGGTTAAAAGGAGCACATGTGATGTATGCTTCAGACCCACCTTTTATAGCTTCTGGTGTACTGGGAAAAGAAGCATCATCGTTACTGCTTTCACTATCTTTCTCATTTTTTGTTTGCTCAAGGCTATCTGCAAAACATTTCTCAATTACTTTACTTTCCAATTTGCTCTCTATTTTATCTTCCATAGCTACCAAACCACTATCTTCATTGTAAGTATCTTTTATTTCCCACACTCGCTCAAATGGTTTGAAGTCTGCATATTCCTCCCTTACAGGAGTTTCTTTCAAAACTACTGCAAATCCTTTTTCATTACTATCCTTTGTTTTTTCTGGAGACATAACTTTGTCCTCTTTAATCGATTCAGTGACAGCTACAGGTAGCTGATTATGAAGAATGTTATTACTAACTAAATCCTGTTCATCTTTATTCTTCACAATGATATCTTCTGGAGGGTTTGCTACTATGGTGGCAGATTCTGTTCCAGGAGAGCCACTGAATGATGATCCCATCTGTGAGTATTCCAATTCTGAAAACTGTGTTAAATCTCTATCTACAAATGGATTTTGTGCCTTCTCTACGAACTCGTTAGAAGTTTCATTTGAAAGTTCTTGCAGTGTTCCTTTGGTGGGTAATACCGCTGACAAATTACCAAGATATTCATGTTCTTTAAAAGAAGCAGCTGAGAGAGGAGATAGAGAAGGAAGAGAAGTAGCAGTTTCAAGCAGGACAGATGGGAAATCCTCTTGGCCAGCCGAAACAGTGTTACCTGGCTGCTCCTTCAAGTCCATAATTTTTTCTGTGACCATGGACAGAAAGGAAAGTTAGAGAATGCCAGTGTTTTCAGGGTTAATGCAAGTTTTATGACAGATTTAAAATAGTGTTAGTAAAGGCAGTGTTAACTAAAAGGAAATGTTAATAGAACTTAGTTAATAAATAACAACTGAGTAGACTGGAATCATTACTAAAAGAATTGAAGCTGTTGTCAATAAGCACAGGCATGGCTACAGAGGCAATTACATGCTACGCAAAGACATCAAGTCTCTGAGAAAACTCTCAAGTGTTATCAACTGAGGAAAGCTACTTTTATTAGTTTTGGAGGAAAAGGAGTCTAGCAGTATAAAAAAGAAAGAGCATTAGATAACTAAATGCCAGAGACTAGCATTCATTTACATAAAAAGCCTTTTAACTATAAGCAAGTACACAGTATTTGGGGAAAAGAAATGGTCACTACATAACCATAAATCAAGGATCCAAGAATTCCTTATATAATTCCAATTGCTAAACAGCTTCTGCTCATTTCTCCTTTGGATATAACATATAAAATACCAATTTCAAGTTCTTCAGGAGACAAACATTCTTGGAACCATGCTAATTTTTAGTAAATTCAAACTACTCTGCAGAATTAACAAAACTAACGAGTTAAAGTCAGAATACATAGAGGATAAAAGGCTAGCAGAAAGAACTTGCCTGCAGAGGAGTGCATCACAGGCTCAGATGCAGCAGGAAGAGCAAAAAGTGTCTCATCTGAAAAACAAATAGAATATAACCTCAGCAGAAATAAAGACAAAGTTGGAAGGAGACTAAAGATAAGAGGAGCAAGGAAGGGTTCAGTTTGTAATGAGTTAACACAAACTTTATCTACAGAGAAGAAGAGGAAAATAAAGTTAGAAAAAGTAGTACAATTAATTTCAATTAAATTATCATATATATTATAAAATTGATTAAGTGAATGCTATCCACAGAACCTATCATTTATCAAAAAATAGCAATGTAATGTTAAAGAAGCTTCACAAACAAAACTGGCTTTAAGATACTATTCTCATCTAATATACTTCACCTCAAACCTTTTTACTCATGTTTTAGATAATTGTCTAGTCCTATTCAACCCCAAAATCAAAAAGATACTTGGAATAAAATTAGTAACTAGTTTTGTTTAACCATTTTCTTAAAATTAGCATATGCTTAATATAGAAGAAAACTTTCAGAGAATGTTGCTTTTTTTCTTACGTTCCAGGTTATCTTTAAATAAAAGATGCTAACAGTAATTGTACACTGTTCTTTGAAGACATTACTCCTATATGGCACTGTCCAAATGCCAAAGAATCCAAATATAAAGAAAATACTACTTATCATAAGGAAGATACATATTATTAATTTTGTTTAAAATTAACATTGATTGAAGGCTTACTATAGGCCACTCGTTATTCAAAGTACTTTACATGCAAGAACTCATTTTACTCTTTATCACCCAGTTGCTGTAAGTGTTGTTGTTACTACACTTTAACAGACTTAAAAAAAAAAAGTCACAGAGACATTAACTCAAGTTCAGGCAGTCCACAGTTAGAATGTCTGACTTACAGACAACTCCTACCTGCCCTTTACTGTTACGTAAATTTGCACTAGCTTTTGAAAGGATTGATCCAACTCCTACTCACAACAAATTATTCATCACAATCACCATCACCTGCTGCACATGCAGCTTGTAAACCATTGGAAAAGCTTTGGACTCTTCTTGCATCGATCAGAAAAAAAAAAAAAAAAAAACTCACTGCCATTGAGTTGGTTCCAACTCACAGTGACTCCTCCTCGAGTTCCCAAGGCAGTATCTCTCTGGAAGTAAATTGCCCAGGCGCCCTTCCGAGAAGTGGCTGGTGGGTTTGAACCACCAGCCTTCTGGTTAGCAGTCAAAATGCCTTAGGCACTAGGCCACCAGAGCTCCTTTTTGCACTGAAATAAAGCTAAGAACTTTATGCACCTGTTCTGACTTATCTACATATTTCACTTACAGACACAGAACAAACAAGAAGTGATCTTGTTCCAAACCAGAGGAGACTGCCTGTATAAACAACTAGTAAGTAGGAGACACAAGCAATATAATTCCAGAGCCCACTGTCTCATGCATTATATGCTGGTATATACTGGCATTCTAATTTTGTACAATGCAGTTGGAAGAAGCTAAGCAACTGTAGTTTAGACTAGAAAAAGTGTCACTCTAAACACAATTTGAAATAGCCTGAGAATGGAGAGGACCTAAAAAAATATTTGGACACTTTTATCTGGAAGGACAAGCTAGACAACACTGATAAAAATCAAACAGAAGTATCTATCATAAACATGGACTTGTCCTCCAAAGGTTTTCCCTGAAATTAGGAGAGCTAAGCAAAAATATATCTGTCTGTCTGCTTCTGTAAAAATTTACAACCTTGGAAACTCTGGGGTAGTTCTACCTTAACCTATAGAGTTGCTATGAGTTGAAATCATGCTTCATGATTCCTAGATAGAATGGTGAGGAGGAAGTCCATGAACTATGTCTAAAAGCATCTTCTACAACAAAGGACTCAAATATACCAACAATCATGAAGATTGCACTAGACCAGGCAACATTATTCTATTACACGTAAGGTCGCCATGAGACAGAGCTGACACAACAACAAAAACCAAACCAAACTCACTGCCATCAAGTTGGATCCGACTCATAGCGACCCCTCCTTGGGTTTCTGAGGCAGTATCACTATGGAAGTAGATTACCCCATCTTCATTCCGAGTAGTGGCTGGTGGGTTTGAACCGCCAGCCTTCTGATTAGCAATCAAATGCCTCAGGCACTGCACTACTACAGCTCAACTAACAACAAAAATCTAGAACAGGTTGGATGGGCCAACCAGTAGGACTACAAGGCCTATGAGATTTCATGAAGTGTATACATGTGTGTATTTTTTAATGGTAACTTTTTATGTGCTCTTAGTTAAGTTAGTTTCCCATTTGTCAAATGAGAGCTAAAACATTCCTTTCAGCTAAAATAATTAATTATAAGCTTGCATAAAACTGAGATTTGGGGGTCAAAGATCAGGAAAAAAAAATTACAAAAGTGATCCATCTAAATAAAAGACAGCAAATTCTTAAGACAAAACAATTGTCTTTTACATTTAGACAATGTAGTTAAAACCACTAATTCACAGGTCAATCTACTTGGAAAGTGACCTTGAAATATGTATTACTATTAAATTAGAAGGGAAAATAAACTACATCAAAATTTTTTAAAAATTTGTTAAAGATATTCTTATTTCTATCTCGTATCATAGTCTCTCTCATATTAAAAAAAAAAAAAACTGTACTCCTGGTATTTGGCCAGATGAGAAAGTTTAAAAATTGGTATTTCAAATATTTGTTAAATTAAAATAATAATAACAATAATAACCTTCATTTTGTAAAATGGAAGGAGCTCTGGTAGCGCACTGGTTAAAGTCTTTAGCTGCTAACCAAAAGGTCATCAGTTCAAAGCCATCAGTTGCTCTGTGGGAGAAAGATGAGGCAGTCTGCTTCCATGAAGATCTACAGCCTTGGAAACCCCATGAGGCATTTCTACTGTGTCCTAAAAAGGGTCGCTATGAGTCAGAATAGACTCAATGGCAATGGGTTTGGTTTTGGTTTTGTAAAATGGATTCATTCCAGAGTTAACTACAAAACAAGTACCAAATTGCATTGCCAAAAACCCTTAGAGAAAAATCCAGAAGAGGTCAAAGCCATTTGGGCCTTCAAGAAGAGAGTTGTTCAGATTCCTGTTAAACCAATCATGGATCATGGAAAAAAACTCCCTGGGTTCAAATCTCAGCTCCATCACTTACAACTGTGTAACCCTGAAAAACTTGTCTTTAACTTTCTGTGCCTCATTTCCTCATTTGTGAAGTAAGGATAACATACTGTTGGTGGTGGTGTTAGATGGCACCTAACAACATTACACCCTTTTCACAGATGAGGAAATAGAGGTATAAAAAGGCTAAGTATCTTCTCCGGAGTCACAACACTGAGAAATGATGGACCTGAGATTTGAATCCAGAAAGTTTACAAGTCCATCCTCTTTTCTTTAACCACTCTCTAATATTTCCTTCCCTGGATTTTACTATTTAAATTTAGACTTTTAAATAACTAATAAATTAAAATTAGGGATATTAGAGGAAAAGATTTATTCACACAATACTTATATATCATAAACCCCAAATTCTAAGGCTAAAAACACCTCAAAATTGTTTATTTCTTACACTGAAAAAAAAAAATTAGATTTTAGATTAGTTTTCCTTTTTCTATAAAAGATCCTGACATTTGCAAATGAATAAACTATCTTATAATAGGGGATATTATACGAAGCAACAAGCACAGCATTCTGAAGTACTGAGATATGTTATAAATCCAAGTTATATAACTGGGCTATGATCTATACATAATGCCAAATTCTAACCACTGAATGAAATGAAAACTTTAATCATCAACTTCATTTCTGGTAACAAAAGAACATAATAAATGTGAAAGGCTTACTTGAGTCCACATTGAGTAAAAAACTGCTTACTAAAAATGTAGCAGCATATCCCCAAAACAAATTTTCACTAAATAGGCACAGAGGAAGCCAAAACTTCTTCAAGTCTTTCCACTCTATTGCCGTCAAATAAATATTTCTAAAATAACAATTCTACATATTATCTTTTTCAAAAACATTTTTAAATGCCCACCAATTATCCATTGAATTACATCTAAAACCTTTATTCTGATAAAAAGCATTCCACACCATATGGTCCCAACTTACTGTTAAAACTTATCTCAACAATTCCTCTCACGTCTCCTATGCCAATCAAGCAATTATTCTAACTATATGCTATCTTCTCCCTTCCACCACCTGCATATCTGAGTATCTGAATGTTGATATCCAGTAAACCTCAAACTCACCACATTCCAGCTTGCTTGCTTTCTGAAGCATGCTCACATTCTTATTTTTGTTAATGTTCTACCCATTTCCAGTTAACGAACCTTAGAAAATTAAGTAGCTTATTCAAAATCACAGACTCAAAAGTAGAGCTAGAAAATTATAATTTAACTGTCATTACAATCAGATATAGACTTATTTCCTTATCACTCCCAGTACAATGGAAAGAATCACTAAACCACTTATAATAATAGTATGAAAAATAAGCTCCATTCCAACAAAAAACGTCCTTTTCCAAATGATCATCCTTCAAGTTGGTCCTAACACTGCTTTTATTTTCACACAGACGTTTAAACACAGTGCAAGTTCAGACTAAATAGTGCAGCGCAACATACTTTGAATTCTACTTCCATCATACAAGAATCCATTTCAAAACGAAAGTTTACTGAAAAGGTTTCCTTTTTTAAAAGTAGTTCACTTTATTAAACAGTGAAAGTAGTGTCAGTTTTTAAGCCTGCAATTTATTATTTGTCAATTCCAAAAAAGCAGATGCTATCACAATCTCACTGATGTCAACACATTCTTATAGTATTTTCCTTGATGTGTACATTTCAGAAACTCAACCAAAAATGTAATTAAAAACCAACTCCAAACTCACTGCCATCACTTCGGATCCAACTCACAGTGACCCCTCCTTGGGTCCCGAGGCAGTATCACTATGAAAGTAGTAGATTGCCCAACCTTCCTTCCAAGGACTGGCTGGTGGGTTTGACCCATCAGCCTTCTTGTTAGCTGTCAAATGCCTTAGGTACTACACCATCAGAGCTCCCA